GGACGGGAAGTTTAAGATTAGTAACATTTAATCCTCCTAATTGGTGGTGCATCTCAAATTTTAATATACGTGGCAAGTCATTTTGTGATTCTACTTAAATGTAGATTTTTTGAATGAGTCGGCCTGGGGTGGGTCTGCATTTTTATTATGCTCTCAGATAATGATGCTCCTTCTCCAAGAGAAGGACTATACTGAGTTGAAAGTGTGTAGGTGATATAATCTCTGTTAAATAAACAAGGAAGAAACTGATTTCCAGAGACATTTAAATTACTTGGTAAAAGTCAGAATTCAAACACAGGTCTGTTTTAAGTAAAAAGCCTGTATACTCTTTCCATGGCATCATGGTGTCTTCTCATGCCAATGAAAAGTTTCACACTTGATTCTTCTAAGAGTGGGGATTTATCTAAGGTCTACGTGTAGCAAAGGGACATGACCACATCTGTGTTTTGGAAAACTGAAACATGGCAACTAAGTGTGAGATCAAGTTGGGAGAACAGATAGGAGGCCAGTATAATGAAGGCTTCAACTGAGGCGGTAGGAAAGTGATGATATATTTGAAAGGTATTGGGAAAGTACCATTGGTAAAACTTGATATCCCGTTGAATATAAGAGAAGAGTAAAGGATGAAAGACAGGCAGCTTGGATGACTGGATGGATTGTGATGCTGGTGACCAAGATAGAAAATCCAGAAAGAAAAGTAAGGTTTTCCTAGAGGAGATAATGGGAATGATAATGTTTATCAAACATTATCTTATTAGATAGAGTTCCTGTTGTCTAGAAATTTTTAAGATGGCTGAAGAAGTGTTTTTTTCACATAAAGATTTGGCGCAGATATACATTGAGGCCCTGGTGTTCTGCTGAGACTTGTAAAATGGAATCATTGCCCATCAAGAGGATCTTTCCCAACTCTTTCTGTAGAGAAACTAACAAGGCAGAAAAATGATGACAAGATCTCTTAGTTTGGAAGACCTGAAAAGGGAACTGTAAAAGTTAGCAAAATAAGCCCCGAGAGCAACCCTACTTTTAAATTAGGGGGGGGAGGGCTACCCAAACTGTGATTTTATTTTAACAATATTTTAACATGTATTTTTAATCTACGAGTCATAATGCCAAATGTAGATTACATCTATTTTACATTTTTGCTTTTCAGTGTTACTATAGTCACTGTTCTGTACATTACATCGCCAGATTTAATTATCTTAGAACTGGAAGTTTGTACTTTTTAACCACCATCACCATTTCCCCCACCCACTACCCTCTGCCTGTGGTAACTACCAATCTGTTCTGTTTCTATGAATTTGGTTGTTTTAAATTCCACGTATTAAGTGAGATCATACAGTATTTGGCTTTCTCTGCCTGACTGATTTCACTTAGCATGATGCCCTCAAGGTCCATCCATGTTGTCCCAAATGGCAGGGTTTTCCTTTTTTTATGGCTGAATAATATTCCATTGTATGTATATGTAAGTTTATACACATTTCCTTTATTCATTCATCAATGGACATTTAGGTTGTTCCCATGTCTTGGCTATTGTAAATAATGCTGCAGTAAACATGGGGGTACAGATATCTTTTTGAGATAATGATTTCTTTTCCTTCTGGATATATACCCAGAACTGAAATTTCTGGATTGTTATGGTAGTTGTATATCTCTGTAAGCAACAAATCATTTATACTTGAACTTTGCTTAAAACTTGGATGTGACCAAAAGTGAATTCAGTCCAATTTTATGACACATCCCGAGGGTGGAGTGGGTGGAGTTTCTTTTGTTGTTGTTGTTGTTGTAAGCATAAGCCAAATTTTTAGCTTCCTTTTTTTGAAGATTTGAAATGCTTCCAACATTTATGTTACATTGAGATTGGTGTTGTCTTACTCATTTTTCTATCTCCAGATGCCTTACACTGAATAGAAATTTGTTAAAGGATACATACATTCTTCCTGCTTTTACTGCTAAAAACAGGAAAACGGGATATTGCAAATAATCAATGGTGGTAATTACTTCCATTGATGAAATGATTTATAGTTGTCAGAGCTGCGAAGAGAAAGAGTTGAGCAGATAAGCACTAGCATTCTTTTCCATCCCATTTCGTGTATCAGTGCTTTAGTTGTGCCCAACCTGCTCCCACTAGTAGTTTAGATGGTCAGATACAGGTTTCTGGGATTGTGCAAAAGTCCAGGTTCTTCTAGAAGACTTCTCAGTTATTCACTCTCTGAGGGAACCAGTGAACCTTTTTCTTATTCTTCGTAAGAATGTAGATTAGGACTTTGGACTATTTTATTTGCATATATTACAGCTCCAGTATCTAATTTTAATGTATAAGATTAAACCAGTGGTTCTCTACTGGGGTGATTTTGGCCACTGGGGAACATTAGGCAATATCTGGAGATGTTTTTGGTTGTCACAACTGGAGGCAGGGGAGCGCTACGGGCATCTAGTGGGTAGAGGGCAGGGATGCAGAGCCCCCCACAATAATTATATGGCCCAAAATGTCAGTAGTGCTGAGATTGAAAAACCCTGAATTAACTGATGTAGAAACACAATTTCTGAAGTTTGGAGAAATTAAAATTTTCTGTTAGTACCATTGTAGGGTCTTATTAAATTAGTGAATATGAATATCCTCTAGATAGGTATTCTGGCTTGAGANAGCTATAAAATCTTTTGTTATCTTTAAGCAATATTTTCTAAGCCTTAGTTTTTCCTGAGCTTTCTTATTCCTGATACTATATGTTTTTGCTCTTCTGTTATATTCACCCTAACTTATTTAGCCCCGTTAACTATTCTCCAGAGAGTTGTTCTGCACCATACTGGATGCTTCACTCTTTTGCATCATTGGAATTATTTACAGGTATGTCGATGGAATTGAGAAAGATACTCTCTTTTGTGCAATTTCACTTGACCGTGGGGAGGTGAGGAGGGGTCATACTTTTTTTTCTTTATATTTTGAATTGTCCTTTCGTAAAAGTATGATACATATGTAACTGTGCCTAGTGTTCTCTTGTTTACTTTTAGAAATCCTTTATGATGAGATCACTTTCTCCTATGTTCTTGTCATAAGTATGTCTTTTACATTTCTTGTTGGTCGTATAACTCATCCCCTGCCTGTTTCCTTAGCCTTTTGAAAGAAACCTGTCAACAAAGCAAGTCAGGAATCACCTTTTGGCAAAATTAGACTTTCAATAAAACAATGAATACTCTTAATTTGTGTTAAGACAATATTATACATTTTTTGTATGGCTGAGTGGCATGTATTTTATTTCTATGACAATGTCAGTCTTACTTTTTTTTTTTTGTACCTTCTCTGTTTTTGTCATAACTCAGTTGTATATTTGTGGAATAAAAGTGTTTGATATTCAAGTTTCAGGTATTAGTGAGGAGTGCCTGGATTTGTTTGTTTGTTTGTTTTTCAAGCCGGAGGCCCTCTCTGAAATTATACCTACAGTAAAAAATGACTGATAACTGGACCAAAAAAAAAAAGGCTACCCATTAGGATTTATAAACATTCCACTAAAAATTATCAATGAAAAATTACAGGGATTCTTGCATTTTAAAAATAATGTTGAGTATAAAATACTAAATGTTTATTTTTAAATTCCTTTCAGGCTAACTACATCTCAGAAAGAATCAACTTTTTATCAATGGACCCATTCATCAAATGCAGTGTGCCTCTACTATTTTAAAAAGTTTTGTATTTCATAATGGAAAAATTTACTCCCCAAAATGAAAATGAAGACATTTGAGAAGGTGGTTTAAGGTGTGGATGTTTGAGAAAGTGTACCATCAAATTACTGAGCCAAAGGAAAAGTATTGAATAGAGTAATCCTAAACACTTATTTTAAAAAAAAAACAACAGCAAGATTGCCTCTTGACAGAAAAAACTTTTATTCAATATGTATTTTCTGAAATTAAAAGAGAGA